GAAGAAGTCTCTTGGAGGAGAGACGAAACGTTTCATTAGAGAAGAACCCGTCCAGAAGACCTATACAATTTTTTTCTTTTTGATTTTTTACCTGGATTACTGAGATGCATCAGGACGTCAATGGAAAAGCACTCGAACTGACCATACCGACACTACTAAGTGGCACTAATGGAAAAGGGGCATAAGTAACTGGTCATAATATCTGATTTAATATGTTAAAAATGATGTCATCAAACTGACAAAAAAACAGAAAGTTATGTGCAAATTCTGGTGTTTTGAAAGACTAAAATGAAGAAAACTAATTCAAATAAATAACACAATTACCAAACAAAAAATTTCAGCAGAAGAAAAACTTTTCCAAGTCAAAATTTTGTTGTAATGAAACTAATACCTTACAGCAAGTCATAGTTGTGTGTCTCTGGTGCTTTTCTGGCTAAAAAGATGTTTGTTCTTCATTGGTAAAGTATCCCAAAATTGTACTCAAGTAAAAGTAGTGATACTTTGTAATAATATTACGCAAGTAAAGTCAAAAGTAAAGTGTAGTAAAAGTACTCCTAAAGGTACATCTTCCCCAAAATGCTACTCAAATAAATGTAAAAGAGTAAAGCACCCACCTCTAGTTTATTACCTTAATGCTTGATGTCAGACATTTAAAAAGGAAATGCTAAGCCTTTAATGGAAAAGTAYAACTTTTTCCAAGCAAGTATAACTTTGAGATGTTCTGTCCTCATAATAATAATAAAAATATTACTATATTTGCTTATTATGACCCCTGCACAATAAGCTGAGGTCATGTTGTCATGTTGTRCTGTATTTAAAMAAAAGTTTTCKAGTGATTTTTGATCAAYCGTATCACAGAAACGGCTGTACCGATCAACATGAAATTTGGCAGAAACGTAGAAGTGWWTGACYTACACTGCACCAGCCAAGGGTTTTACAGTAGACCTCATATTTGAGGAGGGGGCTCCACCTGAAAAGAGGGCGTCTGGACATAYAAAAATGCTTATAACTCAAAAACTATTCAACATATGAGCTTCAGATATTTTATTGTTTAACTCTGATGAAGGGCTTTTCATCATACCCACTAATCAGCCCCGTCTCAGGGCACTGTACACAAAAAATAAAATAAAATAACATTTAAAGAATCCAGCAGACTGCGCCGAATCTTAGCTTATGTACAGTATACATAAAACTCATTAAAGGATTAAAGAAAAATCAATCTTTTCCAACWATTTTTTATAGAGATATTCAAATGATGAAAATAATGTAACTAATAACTAATGGGCTGTGAATAAAATGTCTAAACTAACACGACATAACAGATTTTCTCTACATTTATAGTGGATGCAGCGCTGTAATAAAGGGTTGTTACATAATAATCATAGAAACCTGCTACATGTTGTTTCCATCAGGTATGATCCAGGCTCTGGCTGGTTTCTTCACCTACTTTGTGATTCTGGCTGAAAACGGCTTCCGCCCAGCAGACCTGATAGGCATCCGCATCAAGTGGGACGACCGCAACTACAACGAGCTGGAGGACAGCTACGGGCAGCAATGGGTAAAGAGTGGAAACTCACCCTTCTGCAAATCTTTGTGAAACCCCACGATGCTCGTGCAAAACTCCGGCAAACCGTGTGTTTCCCTCCTGCAGACWTACGAACAGAGGAAGATTATCGAGTTCACCTGCCACACGTCCTTCTTCAGCAGCATTGTGATCGTGCAGTGGGCTGATCTGATCATCTGCAAGACCAGGAGGAACTCTCTCTTCCAGCAAGGCATGAAGTAAGTGAGGGGGTCCATTTGGAAAGATATATACTAAAATAAGTATTGAACTCGTCACCATTTTTCTCAGTAAATATATTACTAGAGGTGCTAATGAC